TCGCAGAGGTGAAAAAGAGGAGCAAACAGATGAGCATAGAAGTCTGACAGTGTGAATGATGGTTTGTCTTACAAACCGTTCTTTAGGCTGATTTAAATCTGAATGACTTTTCACCATTTGGCATTTAATACAGAAAAGATCATGTTCACTTGGACAGTAAAACTTTTTCCCCTCTTCTTGTAAAATGTCTTTCTATGAGTTTACCAGCTCATGGAGATTGAAAGACCTTTTTATTTTATTTTTGGTGTTTGATTTCACTTCTCTTGCCAATTTTCTTTTAAATACATGTGGAATTATCCAGAGGGATAGGGGTCTGTTCTCTAAAAAGCTGACATTGTTCCTGGTCACAGTCAAAATAATTTCCTAACTCACACTCTGCCCGCAGCAGGCTTTGGTAGGTCGGTTTTTTATAATACCAGCGTAAGTTAATTCAGCACAGCTTCCTTTTACCCTGTGCCTCAGTGCAGGCCAGCTCCAGTGGGAACACACAGCCACCGAGCCAAACTATGAGAGAAATGTAAACTAAAGCACTGAATCAGGCTGCAAATACAGTACCAGCCAGTGTCCGTGACGAACAGTGCATATGTCAAAAATCCTGTCTGATTAGCCGAGATAAGCATGTTTTGAAAAGACGTGACAGATGGCGCGTCTGCTATGTTAGAGAGTCTGCACAAACAAAGAAAGCACTGAAGTTAGGCACGCTTGAGACAAGCATAGTCAGAACATGTGTGTATTGAAAAAAATGTATATGGGTGATCTGAAAGTAGAGTAACTTTTCTAGGATGATTTTAAAGGGGAAAAATATATATATTGTGTCATTCTAGTTTAATGGATTAATTTTATTACAGTAGCTGTGAGTGTTTTTATTGTGTCTCATTATTCACTTAAGAATAGGAAAGGTGCAATTTTGCTCAATTATTATCAAATGTTATTTGTTAAAATCAGGAACATTTTGGACTTTTCATATGAACAGAATATGTTGTTACAATTATTTTTTTTTTTTTTTTTTTGTTTAATGACACAGAATTGCTGTCTGTAATATATCTGTCATGCCTAACATTTTAGAAAAACTTTTTTATATTTCTGGATCAGAAATGTAGGTGTAGCTACTGTATATTATATTAGATAACATTAGCAAAGTCAGTATTTGAACATTTTAATTCAGAAACATACCTAAATAGTGTTATCCAATAGACTTGGTTAAGGATTTGAAAATGTTAAGATGTGATACATATTTTAACATTGATTTGCATTCAATTAATCACCCTTAGATTAAAATATGCCTGCTATTAGATGTTGTAATCAGTGTTATTGTAATGAAAAGCAATTGGCAGCACTTAACAAAAAGTATATAATTTAATGAAAGCACTAATAAAACACCCATATTCAATATATCATTAAATGCTACAAGCCTAGCTGTATAACTGTAGGCTTACTTTATAAACGAAACTAAGTGGGATGATTTCTAATATTCAGTCACAGCTTATAGTAGTGGTTTTATTGGCATTTCACAACTTCAAGCGTGCCTCATGTTATCAGCTTTGTAAAAGCCGATCTATATCACATGTAAGAATGTTCTGGTTGATGTCAGTGACTCACAGGAGATGAGACATCATGTAATTCCTCTAGTGACGCGGAGTATATGAGAAATTTGACTATCGGAAGGATTAATGAAAGGCAGATGCATCGCTGAAAGTTTCACCACATTTTGTTTGTCATTCTCACCATCAGTTAGTGTTGATCTTGAGTTTGAATTAAACACAGGGCTAAGAGCCCCATCTAGGAGTCATTACTGTGTTTATTTTAATGAGTGATCATTGAAAAATGCAGATAATGAAAGGAATAAGAGGAATAAGCCATTTAAATTATGGAAGTGTTTCAGGAAGTCAAAAATATAGATTACATTAAGTTTCTCTGAGAAACAGATCATAGCCACAGAATATAAACAACAGATTTATGAAGTTTGTGCGGTGCGGCTGGAAGGGGATGCACATGTGCTAAAGATCAGTCATGTGTTTTTGCATGGCAAATGATGAATTTAAATGTGCACACACACAGCTATTCACTGTTGGGGCATCGTGAAGTTGTTCGTTTATTCAAATGTTTTGTGTGTGTGTGTGTGTGTTTTTCAATCAGGAATGCTGGTGGTGATTGTTCTTCTCCTCATCGCCATCATTGTCGTGGCTGTTTGGCAGACTTAATGAAGAGAAGACGGCACATATACGGACTGCGGAGACTTAGAAAACCGTTTTTTGAGGTGAACGAGAGATACTCACAGGCGGCTTCCAATCAGGCTGTATATGTAAACACACATCTACAGTAGAAAAGCCTCTCCTGTCCCCTTTTACATTTATGAAAATAATGGCTGGGATAAAGCCAAGGAATGGACCGCTATGAAGAGCTAAAATTCTTAGCTCCTCAGATAATGATCAAAGTAGGATTCGGAATGGAAAGAAAACTAGAAAAGAGCTTTGAAAGGTTTTGAATAGTATTATGAAAATAACCATGAGCTCGAGATGCTCCAAGGGGGGAAAACCTATTTAAATTCTTTGTTTGGCAGTGAAGAAAATGATCCGTATCCATCTTGTAAACAAGGTCTGAGTCACAAAGCAATACAAAATATATGTATATACAGTATAATTAAAATGTATTATCTCTTAACTACATTTACAGTTCAGATTCTATTTTGTAAGTACAAAAAAAATTAAATGCCTGATTTTGTCATTGACGCTTTTCTGTAAATTGTTTTTAGCCTGAAAATGTGACGAAATTCTAATAAATGTAGTTGGTCAGCTTGGTCTCTAATTTTAATGATCACAAATGTTAGTGCTGATCATTTGTCACGTTAGGTCATATGTTCTTAAATCTTTACTGTATTTACTGACTTCAATCTTTTTTTAAACCAAATTTGTAAGAGGGGGAAAAATGAAAAGGCACACTAGTAATGTTTTGAGGTTTTATTCCAAACAATTATTGAATGTAGTTCTACCAGGTTGGTGTTCAGTAGTTATCTTCCCCTCTGGATTTTAATCACAACCATCTAAACAACCACAAACTGTAAAAAAAAAAAGGGAAAAAGAAAGACAAAAAATCCACAATGTCTTGTGTCATTAAATATTTTCTTATAATAACCATAATATATTAGTATGCACTGTAAAACAATATTGCAGAAATCTTGTATTTGCCACAGCTAAATTTACAATTCATAATATGAACAAGAAGCAATGTATGAAAGGTCTGCTGGTAATGTCAAATACAGGAGCCATCTTTGCACTGCTGCGAAAAGTAAAAACTGAACATAAATTTACATCATTGGAATACTTAAAATAAAAAAAGAGTGTGCACTAAGATACTGAGTGCCAAACAAAATACATTTACATGTGCTGTTACGAATATTGTTTGTAACCGTAAATACAGCATATGTATAAATATCTGTATGTCATACATTGTGTACATTTACAAGAAATAATCATTGAGTAAAGATGATAATTACTGCACACGTAAACCGTTCATCAAATCTTGACTTTTTTTCTTTTTCTTTTCTTTTTTGGTATTTGATGCTGAAATGATCAGTTCTTGCAGTTTATTTTCTTAATGATCTGTGAAGGACAGACCACACAAGCAAATGTTAAATGACCCTCAAAGATCAGTGGAAAAGCTGTACTTTAGAGAACGTCCGTCATGTGTGTGTATGTGTGTGTGTGTATGAGCAGCGTTTCTCACAGTGAAGAGAATTCTCTATTGTAGTGAAACATTACTGTACATGCGTTCCTACATTCACAGATGCTAAATGGACATGGAAATGTTTAAAGAGAGATGCCGTTGCTTTACAAAACTAAATACATGAATACTAGTTAAAGGTAATTCGTACACTTCTAAATACTGTATTACACACAAGGAAAAATACTACCTATACACACCATTCTACCAACACTTCCAGGACTTATGAAAAGGCCTGTTTATACACTGGACTCGTCTCACTGAAGTTCTGTTTTAACAAAAGGACGTCATCATCCATGTCTGGACTATAAACAACTGAATCAGAGCATCAAATAGACCAAGAACTGCTGTTTGTATTTAGAGTCATCTACCTCAATCATCATGTCTTATACAAAAATATACATGGTGGTTTTATTCCAAGTTCAAAAATAATTGTAAATGCATGCTAATAATTTTAGGATTTGTACAAGCATGCTATTACATTTTTAGAGATCCTAAATCAGTTTTCAACACTTATGTGTACAGATTTGTTTTTCTTGTTGTAAAGAAGTTGTGGCATGATTCACAACACATGGCATAAACAGAAAAAATAAAAAATCAACCAAATGTAGTATATTTGTGTCTGTTGAAGAGAATGGGCACTACTTTAAAAATGTACAAAGCTTCTTTTCAGCAATTGTTAGATGATTTTTTTTACCGAACTCTGGGTCACCGACAGTAAAAAGGGAATCGGAAACATGTACTCTGAACAGAAACCTTGATTTGCTTTTGTTGTGCATTTGCTCGGACAGTTTCAGAGTCATCTCTGTGGTCTGGGTAAAAACCAGCAGCACCAGTCTTCAAAGATTAGTAGTGTTATTTGAAATATAAATGTTACACTGTACATGAGCTTTTCTATGTTGTCCTTTTTTTATTTTGTTTGCATCTGTATTCAATGAAAAACCGCTCAACGAAAATTGCAACAATAATTGAATAATTATAAAAAATAATATGCACAAATATATGCATACAATTGTGTGATTTTCATGGAGGTTGTTACAAAGTCATACTTTTTAAATACTTTTCAGACCTTGAAAAAAGATTATTTTAAATTGGCTGAAGAAGAGCAAATTAGTTTTGATATCGGTCATAGAAAAAAATTCCTTCCGAAAACAGAATTTTGACATTTCTGAAATGTTGGCATCTCAGATGCCATTATGTATTATGCATAAGTTAGAGCATATACATTTTTAAATGCAAAACTGATTAATGAAGTTGTTTTATTTTTGTAATGAAGAGGCATGCTGAAGGATTGTTCCTTTAAATATTTTTTTTGCTCTAAAAAAAACTGTTATCAGATTTGTAATGTATCAATCCTCAATCCCCAGGTTGTTTTAGAATATTAAATATGGCTTAATCTGATTCTCAAGCAGTCTGAAATCGTCCAAAATGGATCTGAAAGCCATTTAACATAAAATACCTTTCTTTATGCTGAACACAGGTGCAAAATTGGCAAACAGCAAACAAATCTTGAAGGAAACAAATAAGAAATGAAAACTGCATCGTGAACTCCTTCACACATGTTCCTATTTAAAAAAAAAAGTTAATATTCTCTTCATGCCTTTATTCAAAGCAGCGATGTTTCGTCTTTTTTCCTTCTCTTCCTTTCCCTTATGATCTTTCCATCCACCACTCGTCTGTTGTTTTTCTGTCCAGCTCTTGATAGCCTCCTCTTTCTTTTTCCCCTCACTATGCTTTCTTGCATTTTCCTTTCTTCTCCCGCTGCTGAAACTTCCGGAGTCTTCGAGCCCAAGTGTCCCTCCATTGAATGACCAGACTGCCCTTGTCTGCCACCACTCCGCTTTGTCCAGGGGAATCCTCATCGTTGCCCAGCAGCAGGTACTTTTTGCCGGGCTTGATCTTTGGGCACTTGCAGGCCACGTCCTTTGCTCTGACCCACAAAAACTGATCCCCCCTGCGGATTCGGCTTTCTCCCTGTTTGTAGACAGAGATGATGTTGACAGTGAACTTCCACCACTCGCCGGCTTTGTCTGCCTTTAGGATGTGGACCTGAACAGCTGGAAAACATAGAACATAGAAAACAGAATTAGCTACTTTTCCAGTATTAATACAGATGGGTGACATTATATTTTAAGCCGTTTCAGCAGTTCTTTTCAAATACAAATATTTAAAACTTTAAAAACGTTAAAACTACTTTAGACAAAGTTAATTGAGAAATTACATGGAATATTTTTTTGTACTTTTAAAAAGTAAAAAATGCTAAACATGTTTAAACTTAACATTTGGCCATTTGCACAACATATACAAATGTATGTTCATTTATGTAGCCTACACAATAAGTCCATCTTGCATATTTCTAATTTAATACAATTGTTTCCATTACAAATTCTATTATTTGCATAATTTAAGTGAAACGTTGGACAAAAAAAAAGTGTATTCATTTCAGAATTTCTTTGTGACCCTGGACCACAATACCAGTCATAAGTAGCACAGGTATATTTGTAGCAATAGCCAATTTTACATGGGTCAAAATTATCGATTTTCCTTTTATGCCAAAAATCATAAGGATATTAAGTAAAGATCATGTTTCATGAAGATATTTTGTAAATTTCCTACCGTAAATATATCAAAACTTAATTTTTGATTAGTAATCTGCAATGCTAAGAACTTCGTTTGGACAACTTTAAAGGTGATTTTCTCAATATTTTGTTTTTTTTGCCCCCTTAGATTCCAGATATTCAAATAGTAGTATTTCGGCCAAATATTGTCCTATTCTTATTTATTCAGCTTTCAGATGATGTATAAATCTCAGTTTCAAAAAATTGACCCTTATGACTGGTTTTGTGGTCCAGGGTCACATTTGGTTTTGATTTGTGGCCTAGATCTAAAAGGCTAAATAATTTCTTCATTTTTAATCTTTTTTTTTTCCTGTTCCATTTCCAGGTTTAAATAAAAATTTAAATGACAGATTTTGTGTGTGGTTGGATCCCACTGCATACATAAATTTTATTCTAAAATCTTGAATATATAAATGTGTACACACTGCGCCATAAAAATGTATGCAATACACTGCTCCCGTGTGCCTAAATTTGATAGTTCAGCCGTGGGTTTAGAGTCTGTCTCTATTTCTGATTAAGTCGTTTGTATCGTCTCAGTTGCCTCAGCAATGCAGGTCAACCTTCAGTTTAAAGTGCTTTCAAATAAAGCATGTAACTCAAACCTTGATTCCTTGCAAGTGTGAATCCTCAAAATCAGCTTAAACTGCCTGTAGACTCATGCTGTTCCCCTTTCATTATTAATAGCCTTCAAGGTGCTTTGTAAGGTGACTTTGACAAAAAGGACCAGCAAAACAGGCAGATTTAATTTCATCTGCGTAATGCTTTGCGCTTGGCTAAAGACTGAGGCTGTATCATGCAGGCTAATGGTTGGTGATCTATATGTCGATTTACATTATTTACATACTTTACTCAACATTTTAAAGGCTAGTGTTAGAGTATGCACGTCACTGGACCCGTATTAAGTAGTTTTTTCCTCTGATATACAACATTTAACCCCAGGTTACAAACATTCTGCTTGTAAGAATTCACGTTTTTCACAAGTTGCCTTTATTACCATTACAAATACCGCGTTTCACATTTACAGGAATCCATTTATATCTTGCGCCACGCAGCATCCCACTAGACTAAGTTTAAACTTCTCATTTGTATCAGGTACCAGGATATGCAAAGTTCTTTAATGGCTAAAAAAGGAGATTAGAACATGCCAAGTGCTTCAGAGGTGTTTTGATTAAATTAAATTGCAACACGTCTGTGTTTATTTAATGGCATTTAATTTCAACTGTAAATTCCTTAAAATGTTTAAGCATTAAAATCAATGGTAATTGTTTAAAGAGGCTGTTTGCAGGGGGGGAAATTCTGTCATTATTCTTACCCTCATGTTGTTTCAAAACTGTGCTATTTTGTTTCTTCTGTGGAACACAGAAGGGGAATTTTTGAAGAATGTTCTTGTAGTTCTCTTACATGTAATTGAAAGTAAATCAGTGAATTAAAGTGGTTCATATGATTTGTTAATAATATTCCAAATATTCTGATGCCTGTACGATAGCTTTGTGTTAGTGAAATTTAAGCTATTCACTAAAAACTTGATATCTAGTGTAGCTCTCCCTAGCTTGTTCCTGAGAGACGCAGCAATGTGCGATTCATGAAATACTCATTCTTTGGAGTCGGATCTTTTCAACTAAATGCTTAATAAAGCAGTTCACACAACTTCTGTTTGAGTTTAAGCCTTATTAACTTGCCAGGATATTCTTTAGAAAGTCATCTTTTGTGTTCTATGTAAGAATAAAATAAACATGAGGGTGAGAACTGTAAATGATGACATTTTTATTAATTTATTTTTTATTTTTTAAATTGCTTTCTCCAAAAATAATCACAAATTAAATGGAATAAACCTTTAACTTTATGTCAGTGTCACCATTTGGAAAGGTGGAAGTCATTTACCTAGTGATTGCAACATGTCACAGCCTGTGGAAACCTGTGGTGTCTTATGGGTAATGTGCCAGTGAGGCATAAGCTTGTAAATATAATGCCACAAAGGGCTCGATTCCCCTAGAAGTCTTTTAGATGACTCCATCTTCAAGTTCAATACCATTTCCAGCCATTTCCCCCCATGCTGCTGTAGCATAAAGCCCCCCTGATGCTCGAGAAGGCAGAAGGAAAGTGGATTAGGTTTAATGCTCAGAATGTGGGAGTTTATCCTAGATTGTTCACTATTCTGTAAAGAGGGAGCTGGCCAGCTCTCCATAACTGAGGACAACTGTAAATTGAATGCAGCGGGGGACCATATTATCTGGATAAATTCTTAAATGAGTATTAAACGAGTAATGGCAGTGTAGAAAGGAGAACATGCAAAGAGGTCTGCAGGAGGTGATGGCATTGAGTATTCATCACACAAGATGCAGCTACCAATGTGTGCCAGACCTCCTCTCTACACTGCAGGGATCCCCTGTGTTTTCACCTTCAATGTAACTGATTTTTGAGAGGTCTACTGAGCATAAATGCTTACTGTAGTTATATATATATATATATATATATATATAAAATAAAT